ACCAAATTCTCAAATTGAATTGTGTCTAGGGCAAAATAAATACACCGCTCTTGGCTTGGTAAATATTTTTGTACCAAACTCAAGAATCAGTGTAAGTTTTCGACGACGACCATATTTTCGAAGTATTATAAAAGTAAGGCCAAGTTCGCAACCTAGAGTAATAGCGTTACGCGATGCAATGGAAATCGCTCAATTCAAAGAAACTTCTTCGCCAGCATAATCGCTCGCGATTAAAAAGTAGCTAGTGTTTAAATTGTAGCAAAATTATACACGACTAATTTTTTATAATAGGGGAATTTACGATGAGTAGCATTTTAGATTTAAAGTTGCTACGTAGCAATCTAGCACATATTTTGTTGTTGGGAAAGCAACAAAACGTGTGATACATTGCTGCGTAGGGATTCCCCTAATATATTTTAATTTGTTTCTACAACCCTTTGAAAATTTATACCGAAACTTAAGCATATTGTATTGTATATAATAGCAGTAAAAGAGATGTTTAATTTATTATATAAATATGTACATATGCATATTTTTTATTTATTTGGGCTTTAAGTATGAGAAAAAGCTTTTTTTTAACAAACTGCATAATTTTTATTTGCTTGCAAAGCGATAAACATGAAAGACTGTGTAAATGTTGGTTAGAAGCGATTTTTATGTATTCTCGCTACGCTAATACGTTAGGTTGTAAACTTAGCCTAATACTGAAACTGAGCTGGACGCCATATTAAAGCTGTATGACTATTATTTAACTAATCTAACAATTTCATTATGTACATTGGCTCAACTATGCCACTTTATGTGTACTTTCAACCCTTTTTTAAATAGCGCATCTCTTAAAAATTTAATAATGGCGAAAAAATCATTGCTTTAAAAATATAAGTTTTTCCAGATTTATTTAAAAATCTTCCAATCCTTATAAATTTTGAGGCGCTCGAGTTTTAGAGGGGGTAGTACCGAAATTCACTCAACAGAATGTACCTCGTTTTTAAATTAGGAACTCACATTCATATATATTCGCGATTTTCTTGCCTGCATATTACGAAGAGGAGTTCTGAGAATTATAAAAAGAATTCCAAGTTGTGCAGATTAAAAAAGAGCTTCGGTGTAAATTTTATGTCTGAGTTAATTTTATTTTTGATTCGTAGTAAATTTTATTCCTCGAATCCTTTTGTACTCTTCACACTCATGAAAATATATTTATGCTAGAATATGATGTAAATTCTTTACCATTATGGTGTATGATTTGAGCCAAGACCAATACGTATTTTACACCAACGGAGTTTATATTATGTTCTAGAAACAAGAAATCTTGTATACCACTAGCATTATATATATGCCGAAAATCAGTAAAAAAAATTTACGGTAGGTCTAAACAATGCACGTAAAAGCGGTATAAGCTTAACACTGAGTCGAAATAAACTGTTCAAAAACTGCGCTTAGAAATGGCATATTTCTTATATTGAAAATGTATATCACGCCGATGCAAAAAATACACAAAATATTTTGGTGTATTTTTGATTTTTTGTGCTACTTGAGGCAGTCCCTAAGGATAAACACTCCTTGTGTGTCAAACTTAGCAGATTATGCTGAACTCCAAAAAATTTTTAAATGAAATGTACTCGGTAAATTTTAAATTTTTTTTCCTTTTGGTAGCTTTCAGACGGTCCGGACGTGTTTTCTTTCGCTCTGTGCTTTATGGTTAATATTATATATCGCTCGCAATAATGAGTTTGTGTACTAATTGTGCGGCCAATTGTAGGCCTAAAGATAAAATTCTAAACGCGATTTCGGACTTGGACGGAATAAAAAGCACTTTTATCGCATTAATTGAGTCAGTAAATGATAATACTAACTTGCCGGCTCCTGGTATAATTGAAAACAAACGAGTTACTCGTTCAAAACATAAAGCTAGTGAAGGTGTTTTTGCTCAGCCATCTAAAATGCAAAAGCACACTCAAATGCCCTCATCTAAATTTAATGATGCTGTTGTTGCTGCTAATAGCCTAACAGCTGGGAATGCGCATGATAATAATACCGGTTTAATAACTGGTGGTAATACTGGTATTTCTGCTTTTTTGCCTTCTTCTTCGGAGACATCGTCAGCTGTGAATGCTGCCAGTGAAGGTGTTATTGCTCAGCCAGTTCCAATCATGGTTGCCACTCGCCAACATTTTTTTCTACCAAAATCTCTTAAGAAAAGTTACCAAAAGTTACCAAATCTTCACTTCTTCAGTGAGAAAAAAATATACTGAATAACACTGCTATATTTCATAACAAATATGTATATACTTACAGCCCGGTTCTGTGCACTTAATAAATTCAATATTTGTATAATTTGTAAATTTTTGATTATTTATCAAGAACTCCCAGTTCTAGCACAGAAGTTTAAATCTATTTTCTTGATAAATTATCAAGATTGAAAATGCTATTGACAATTATAATAATTTTTTTTATTAGAAAATATTTTTCTATCAACTAATTACTGCATGTGCCGTTATTCTCATTTTCGTTGTTGGTGTTTCCGACAGGGTAGGAGTGTGATGTAATGTGGAATGATTTTCCATCATCCCTTGTCAAATTTGGTTGGGAGACAAACCGGTTTCGACGTTGTGCCATTTTCAGTGTAATTTTTCGTTCGAAATGTGCCGATACTTGGACCTGCGACTCACGGAATAATAGCACTGGCACACAAAAAGAGTGGCGGATGCTTTTAACCGTTCGTTTGACTCGTGCAAAATTTCGAGTAAATTGCGAAAACTGTTGATCTCTTTGCTATTTGCCTATCAAACCCCGAATGTAGGAGCCAATAGAGCTTTTAATACTGATTCAAATGAAAGATGTATATATGTCGGTTTGAGGCCATAATAGAGAGAAACTCT